TTGTAATTAATTATAATAAATTTAATAAAAATATACAGCCAAAGAGGTCACTTGTAAAAAAAAAAAAAAAAAAAAACAAAACAAGAAGTATGAATTTTATTTTAAGATATGTCTAAAGCCTTTAACTAAATAAATCTAAATCAGCTAATTGATGTATGCAAAAGAATAGATATTCTACAAAATGCTCTAAACCTTATCTACAACCTTTACTCAAACCAGAAAGCTAGAATTATTACTGTATATAGTCTTACAGAATCTATTACTTTTTATTCAGGAATTGAATAAGGAGTATACATAGCGTAGAAATTATTTTAGTACAATTTCTACCTGAATTTTGGCATGTAGCATTGCCTAAATCCAAAATTTATGCCACAATTAATGATCAAAACCACATGCCAAAATTAATACCACAAGTCTAAAAGTAGCCGAAAGTCTAAAAGTTAATTATATCATCAATTAATCATATTTTGATTAATAAAATTTATAAAAACTAATTTTTTAATTGATTAAATAAAGTTTTAAAATACTTTTTAATTGATCGAATAATATTTACAAAAAATAAATAATATTAATAATCATCAAAAAATTCAAAATTCTTTAACTCTAATAGCTTTATTTTCATTTGATTCTGTTGTTAATTCTCAAGAAGAAACTATTCCCAGAAATTCAGCTGGAAGACCTCAAAAAGAAGTATGGGATTATATTCAAAAAGTTGCACTAAAAGATCGTGGGCACTATAGTGCAAAATGTATATGTAGTAAATCTTAGGCACGCAGAAAGCCAAAAAATTTAGAAGATCATTTGGCTACAGAATGTACGAAAGTTAGCATTGAAGTTAAACAAAAATTTCTTCATATAGTAGTAGCAAGAAATCATACAAAGGAAAATGATAATGAAAGAGATACTGAAGAGGATTTTCCAATATTTAAAAAGGCTTGTACTAAAGAACCTCAAGAATTAAATAATTGAATTGAAAATCTTCCAAATTTACCTGAGAAAAAAAAAGAATGTAACAGAGCACTTTTAAAATTTTTTGTCTGTTGCAGGATTCCTTTTTCAATCGTTGAACATCCTTTTTTTTTAGAATTTGTTAAATGTTTAAATCAGACCTATGAATCACCTAAATGAACTTATTTATTAATAACTTTATTAAAAAGTGAAGTTGCTGATATTACTATAAAGATTGAAAATGAAATTGAAAAAGAAAAAAATTTAACAATCGGTAAGTACGTACGTCTGTATGTATATATATATATATAGTAATGTTCTTTATTATTTAAATATAGAAAAATTTAATTAATTATATCTATTTATAGTATAGGCCTTGATAGATGGATGAACCCAATTAGTCAAAGCATTTATGCATACTTATTAATGACATTGAATAAAAAAGAATACTTGTATAGTCTTCGCAATTATTCAAAGCAATCTCATACAGGAAAATTTCTTGCAGATGAGATTCAGGATATTATTGAAACAATCGATATAGAAAAATTCAGTAGAATTATAACAGACAGTGCTGCCAATATAAAATTGGCTAAAAATCTTGTCGTAAAAGCTTATCCCTATATTCTTCCTATTCGATGTATTGCACATCACATAAATCTCATTACAAAAGACATTCT